AGCTTTGCTTTTTTTTGGCCAAAAAACTGCACTTATAGTACAAAAAAAAAAAAAAAAAACTCAGAAAGACTTTCAAGAATTATGAGGGCAGAAAAAAAAACAACAACAAGAAAAAAGGAAGATTTGAAAGAAAAGGTTTTTTTCAGTAGTCGTTCTGCATATCAGATACTGAATAGCTGAATATCAGTTCAGTAAATGAGGGTACGCTGTACAACTGGTATTTATGTCTGATGCACAACAGAAACGATGCTAAAATTCACAGGTAAATACGGATGAATGATGCTTGTTATTCTGATGCATATACCATTTATATCATTGGTGGTCAAATTAATGGACTGCAAATCCAAAACGATTTAATTTTGTAAGTCTTCGGCTTCCGCCATCATCATCATTTGTTGTCTGCCACTTAATGGATTGTTAGAACCCGTCCCCCCTCCCCCCTTCTTACGCCCTTCGACAAAAAAGTGTCCATTCTAAGCAACAATTACTTATTAGCATTCAGTAGCAGCAAGATAAGGTTTTTTTAGCGCTGATAACAACAACAACAGCAACAAGTCATCTGAATAACAACAAAACAATGTTTTGGAGATAAAGAAAAAGTTTTACAGTTTTGAAATTTGAAATATTGTTGTTAGCTTGAGAAATTATGTTAATTATAACCATTAATTATTCTTCAGAATAATTGAAGGAGTTTTTTCTATCATCTTGGAAACGTTTTCTTTTTCCTTTATTGCCGAACTACTGCAACCGCCATAATGAAAACTAGGCAGCTTTGTCGTAACAGCTGCTTGTACCGTTTTACTCAGATTATTGGTGCAGTTTTCACATCGTTTTTCCAAGAAAACCTATCATTACCGGCAAAGTAGTTTAAAATTCTCAAAAACGGTTCTTGCTTTATTTACTTCTATTTAATTTACACAACTTTCATTGTAGATGGGTTTTTAAGAATTGTTTTAAAGCTTTACAAAATAGTAGATAATACACTGTCTGTTTGCTGAACCGTAACATTCATTGGTTAAAGACCAGCGGTGCTGTTTGGTGATAGGCTTTAACAAACGATGGAAATACAGAATACTTCTTCTAGATCGACGGTTGACGTTAAAATGTTTTTAGATGCTTATCATTTTAAAGTTAGTGTTACATTGTTTTGCTTAAAATCATTTGTGGGAAACTGTTTGAGACTTACTCCTGCAGTAGTTCAATGTCTTTTTTTCTTGAAAATCAAACAGACCAATTAAGCTCTTACCAGCACATATTTTCGAGAAGTAATATCAAATACCATTTTGTTGTCTACCACCAACAGGTTACAGGTTACAGATGTTTTTTTTTCTGTTTTCAAAAAATCTTACTTTTTTTTTTAGCATATTGTTGAAAACTGAAAAAAATTTTATAGGTCATTTTACTTCGACACTTTTCAAATGACTATCCTCCCATCCATTAGTTGGCGATAAATTTGATGCGATTCAACCCTTATTGAAAAGTGTATAGCTAAAAAAACCAAAAAAAACGGTTTCAACAGACGATTAGTATTTGCTTTCAAAATAGGGATTCCCAATTATCAGTGTTTGATGGCTGCACTGAACAGATAGCATTGTTTAGGTTGTAAGTATAACAGTTAGTTCGATTGATGTATTTAAGTATTTTTATGCCCTCTGGTGTGTTTGTTCATACATAAAAATATATATTTTTTTGGTTTGACACTTCAAACCAACAACCCGTGAATATCTGTGTGCATGTGCACGTGTGTATCTCTGTGTGTTTATTTGTGTACAACCCTTCAGCTCTCGTCGTATATGCATTGGAAATGACCAAGCTGTTGAACAATCAAGAATAAAAATAATTGAAATTATATTATTTTGAAATTTTCCAAAATGATACTTGATTAATCAGAGAAATTCAGAACAAACAGCAAACAATTAAATTGTGTAAAGCACAGCTGCAGAATATCACTAAGATTTCCGCATTTATGTTTGAACCACAACATACCAAACAACTTCAACAACATTCAAATTTACTGGTACTTGTCAAAGCAACAAATTTGTCCATGACTCTTTGTAACTTTTTCCTATTACAATGAACGATCAAGGACAATACGAAATTTGAATATGGCTAGTTTGAAAGGTCATTAAAGAGCTTTTCATTGCAGTTCGTTTCATCCTTTGCCTTTTCTTTTTCTGAATTTCCAGGATCCTCACCCTACTGGATATCCTGACCAATCAGCCTTTTTTGTGTTTCCAATTGGTTTTGTTTTGTTGCTTAATCCAAAATAACACTTGAGCAGCAAAAAAGCAGAGGAAAAAAGTGTGGTCACTACATATGAAAGAGCATTTCTTTTTTCCTGGAAGATTGAATTTTGATTAAAACGGGAATTGTTGCCATTAATGAATAATTTAACTGCAGACAAAGCATTAAGATATTGGGAATGTTTGTATGTTTGTGTGTGCCTATGTATATGTGTAATAAATAATTTGAGATAAAGCTCTGAATACGGGGAATAATATTAAAAAAAAATGCTTTGAATCTCATTAATTCTGTTTCAAATAAAAAATCCTAGCTTTTCTTGAGAGTTTTGCAAATTTTTTCCGGAGCAAAAACTGACAAAAAACATTATTTGCAAAAGTTTCTGGGAAACAATAAAATTTTTTTCTGAAACTAAATTCGCCAGGTTTGAAGCATCGCTTACGCCAACGTTTGTACTCAGAGCTTCAATCCAAATTATTTATTACTCACATAAAAATGTGTATGTTTGTGTGTGCCTATGTACGTACATATTTGTGTGGTGAATAGATAGACCGACATCATAATATCACCACCACAACCGAAAGCACACAAAACATAATTAAAGTAACCCAAAAGCAGATGTTATTACGCTCATCATCGTCGTCATCACCATTTTGACAGCCCCCATTATGTCGGACTTTTCTTCATTGTTTCTATTTTCTTCAAAGTATTATACTTTATACACACATAGAGGAAAGTTGTGTATTTTACCTTCAAAATCTATCTGTAGACTTAGGCTTAGTATGACATTAAATAAAACGATAACAGAAAAATTTAAAGTAAAAAGTTACTAATTTACACTTATAACTTTCACTTCCCATTCAGGTACTTAACTAACTTTCTTACTAGTTTACTAAAGACACCATTACTGGACACTGCTAACAACCAGTACCCGGGATCTTTTAGACTTCAGAAAGCAATAAGTGTATGCAGATTCCAAAAAAAGGGTAAAAACCAGTCCTGCATTTTTTTTAAAGCATTTACAACGATTCAACAGACCCTTCACTCACCATCATATATCCATTAGTAATCAACGCGTCAATTACGTCACTTCTGCAGTGGTTAATCGTAAAAATAAGGGTCCGACAAACTTAGGTTCAAATTGCAATTAAAAGCTCGCAAAAAAAATTAACAAATTTTAACAAAACTAGTCAACTACTGTTATCCAAATAGCCAAGCTGCAAAGAAAAACTGGCCAGCATCTCTTCCAAACACATCATAATCCGTCCGTCACTGCAATGCTTCATGGGAAAGGTTCCTGCTATCCTTCACCAATTCTGCAGCCACTGAAATCCACCAATTTCTGCCTACTCTCTGCATTGTTCCATTTACAGTTGTCGCCGTCAATAACAAAAGTTTCACCTCATATCTGAACCTCTTAAGCAGTTTCGGCCTACTTGTGTACGCAATAAATTAAGTGTAAATTACAACATAAAAATTAATATTCTTTTATAATACACGTTTACAAAGAAAATTTTTAAAAAAAAAACTAACTAAACAACATAAAAGCAATTAAATATACAATTAAAAAAAAGACACACATTTGTTTCTTACAAACCACTAAAACTACACACATTACAATATTTGCATTTATCTTAATACCCATTAAAATTTTTTTACCAAGGAAAAAAAAACTTGTGGTAACTTTGAACTACAGTCCTAAAACCAACAATATTTCAAATACTTTGATACCATAATTTGCTTTCCTATCATTCACATTCCCTTCTCACCACTTACCTTCAAACTACTACTGAAACGCTTATAGAAACATACAGATACAGAACACAAAATCCGGAAAATCTATGCCGTTCATCCAAAATATTGCCAACCTTCTAGATAAACAAGAAATCATGGTGAACATATTAATGCAAGCTTTCATTCGCGCCACTACTTTCCTCTTTCGTTTACCCCATTATACATCACTCAAAAACCTCTCGCAAAGCTTATTTGTGTGATAAATTTTTCATCAAACCAAAACAAGCAAATGAAAAAAATTCTGCAATTCCCGATTCCACTCGACAATCAGTTAGAACGAATCAAATATACCAAATATCTTCTATAATCTGTCTTTTTTTTTTTTTTTTTGGAATTCTACTAAAATTGTAAAGAATAAAAGTGGTAAGAAAAACAATAAACAAAGCGAAAAGAAGGAAACTTTATGAATGAGCACTGCAGAAGCTTCGAGAAAAAAAACTTGGGAGCTTATCAAGCACTTTTGGTAGTAATATAAGTAAGTATATGTATACATTAAAACAGTTCCAAAGTTTTTAAAAACATCTACCGCATAACACGCATTGGAAATTAACACAGATTTGCCAAATGTTAATATAAATAACAAGGAAAGAGGAAACGTAAAACATTTACCAAGCAGTATTTATGAAATATTTTTCTATCCCTTCCTTCTCGGTTAAAATCTCCTGATTGAAGAAAAATTTCCAAATCAGTTTATGCAAAAAACAACTTTAGCAAACTATAAATGGCTCACTTTCCTGGAAACTTATCACCAAATCACTATACTGAAATAAGCAACTTTGTAAGTGGTAACAAAATTTGAAACCTGAAATCCTCAGCCAAATCGAGACATAAGAAAAAACAAAACGAAAAGAACAAAAAAATAATAACATGGCTTTTAAAATGTTGCAAAAATTACAATAAAATTTAAATATAATTTAAAAATAAAAACAATTAAAACTCTTTTGAAGTCCTTACTGTAAGTAATATTAAGGCCAATAACCAGCCACTCTTTTGCCTTCAATACACTCAATCATCCCCTTCCCAACAGATATCAGTTTCACCTAATTACTAAACTGTTGTAGAAATAGAACAAAAAAAAAAAGTAAGACAAAGAGACAGATTAAGAAAGAAACTCCAAAATTTGTAATATTAGTAAAACCACGTATTTTTTTCTCAAAATGCTGATTTCCCTTCGACAACAGCAAAAAAAGCAGAAAAGAAAAAACTCAAAGATCCATTCTTAATATAGAAAAAAATTGAAAACAACAGCGAAGAGAATAAGGGAAGACAAAAAAGTCTCACCCCCACTTTATGTTACCATATCAGTTGTAACAGTCAATATGAATGCACTGTCAGTAATGATCAGATTTGTATTGATTGAGAACAATAAAAATTGCAATCACCTTCCTATAGCTGCTGAACATATCAATAAGCTAAAGCTAACAAACTTTTGGTCGTCTAACCAGCAACTTCACTGATGGGAACTGTTTGATAATTTGTATTGCAGTCGCATGAGTCATACCCTTCGTCACATGACCATTAATCTCCATCAACTGATCACCAATTTGTAATCGCCCGTCTAATGCGGCCGGACCATTTTCAGCAATCCTAAGCACAAACAACGGCATTGCATCAAACTCCTGACCACCACGAATTGAAAACCCAAAACCTTTTGGACCACGGTCTAATTCAACGGGAATCATCGGTGGTTCCTGCAAAGTCAATCTTTTTAACAGCAGTTAACAGCAGCTGCAACAAAAAAATATTAGTTAAAGCTCCTTTTCTAAACTTGTTTTAACAGATTACAAAACCAAAAAAAAAATATTGAAAAAAATAACGCATCAGTTTTGTGCTTTTCACTGCAAACCTCTCACATATCAATGGCGTTGTTTCAAAAGCCCACAATAAGAAGGATTATTGTAAAGAGATAAATTACTGCAATCCCACTGACTAAATTTTCTTGCGTTAAACATTCTTAAAGACTACCCAGTAAAGCACAAAAGAACAAACAGACAAACCAAAAACCTACTAACTGTGAAACAAATATAAAGACTGATGTGAAATCTTCAAACAATTATTTAGTCTTAAGGGTCATGAAAATCAATACAAGAAAGAAAAAAAGCAAAAGCAACATGCGATCAATGATGTACATCTCAAAAAGTCAACAAAGTCAACAACGTTAGCATATTAATACAACAACAACAAAAAAAAAGGATAAACAAAAAAAAGAAAAATCAAAATGCACCAAAACACTCCTCACGATTAACCTTATAAAAACAAAGAAAGACATATGAGGATTCAACCATATAATAATTCTTTTCTTTCATGCTTCATCTAACAAAACTGTTAGTGTTAGAGAATTGAAAAAAAATCGAGCCACTCATAAGTTTGGAGAAGAAGATAGCAGACTTCAATGTATGTCTGGGAGAAACGATACTATACAAAGTTTTAATTCTTTCTTAAAGTGAACTTTGTGCCAGCCCTTTCCATACTTATGTTTAAAACTGAAAAGGTTTTCACAGCACAAATCGCACATAATATTTAGACATAAGTAATAAATTTTAAAATCAAAATTAATTCTAACAGACAAATGCAACAGAAAAAAATGAAAGAAGAATCATTAGTTCATTGCGGGGTTAGATGTTAAAAAAAGGCAGAAAATCAGGGCATTTCAATTAGAATTACCAACAATCCTCTATGCTCAACTCAGATTTTGTCTATCTTAGACCAGTAGCCATGTATTTTTAAGACAACAGCAGTCATTTCAAGGTGTTTCAGAAATGCTCATTCAAGAAAAAAATAAATAAAAAATAAAAGAAAAAAAGCAAAGAATAAAAAAATGAAAAAACTGTCACACTCCCGAGCTCACAAACCATAATAATGTGGTTATCGGTGACGGTGGCAAGGAGACATTTATAGCATCAAAGTCCGATATTTCTGAGTAGCGATCCAGGCAGGAGGAATATCGCAAAAGTTTAAGCAGAGATTCACAACTCGATTGCTACAACAAGACCTCTACAACATTTTGCCATATCACTTATATTTAGCATCATTGCTAACCAAAAATTTAATTTATAACTCATTAAAACCAATCTGATACCACTGTCTCGTACGAAATATCTTCTCTTCAAATAAAAAACCAAAGTAAAACAAGATTTTTCAATAATCAAAAAAAAGAAAAAAGAAATGATAGAAACGCAAAGCAAAATACAGCAACCGAAGAAGCGGAAATGAAAAGTGCTAACTAAAATGAAAAGGAAATAAAACTGAAAATAAATGTGCCAATGAAAGTAAAGCTCCCGATAAGCAGAAAATTATTAGAAGATTTCATCAGTATTATGTCAAAAAACAAACACATATGTGCACTAGTGTAAACAGTAGAACCAAAGTGACATTAAAAAAATAAAAAAAGAAATGAAAAAAAAAAACAAAAAAAAAAATACCGACTTAAGTCAGAGAAAACAGAGTGATACTGTTTAGAGTAAACCTTATTCAGCATTTCTGGAGATCAGAAAAGAAATTAACAAGCTGAAGAAAGCCAACAATCAGAACCGAGTGATTCACTAAGCAGAAGTGAATTAACCGCTGAGTTGTACGCTTCAGCAACAACAACAAAAACTACAGCAGTAGCAGCAGGAAAAGCAACAACAAGACAAAATAATCACTTACTTTTGGTGCTATCGACAAACATATATCCTCTTGACAAAACAACTACAGAACACAGTTAAAAAGCTGGACAGATGAGTCAAGCAAAGTGACATCAAACAGATTATTTGGCAGTTGAAATGTATAAATAAAAACGTATCATTCCTGCCCAAGAATAACAGTAAAAAGAGATTTATATAAAAAAAGTTAACTCGTCAAAAAAGCAAAGAAAAAAGAAAACACCTTTGACAAAAGTATGAATGAAATGTTAAATCATCATGCTCTTGAACATTCCAAACCAAAAGAATGTATGAATTTAACGTACAAATCAGAAAAAAAGCTCTGAATCAACAAAGTTTTTAAAATAATTTAAAAAAGAAAAACCAAAAAACAACGGCCAAACTTGAATTCCCAACAAAATCCTTCCTGTGAGTTTCAAAGTTTTCAGTATCTACAGATTAAAATTTCCGTTTCAAACAGCTTTTTATTAAGTGATAAGAATTATCTTTATGAAGAACTCTGTACCGTAAAATACAGAAAATGATGCAGAAAGCAATTCAGTGATGGTGCAGAGATGACAAACGATCTGCTTTGAAAACAGTTCTACACAAACAATCTGAATGTCATTTAAAAACCAGAAAAAAAAATCAGTCTGTGAAACTTAGGAAACATGTTGAATTTTTGAAAAAATAACAGACACAGACAGTAACCAAGTGAAAAAGTAAAATAAAAAATATCTGATAAAATTATCAGAGAAGAGACTACGAAAATACCTCTCAAAATGTTATTCAAATGAAAAACAAACCATTTCGGTAGCATATCCGTAGACGGTGCCGTTCTGACCAACTTGTCTGTATTGTGAATTACTGGCACCATCATATGCATCCCCGTATTGATGCACATCGTTTAGATAAGCACTATCCTGACCGACACGTGATATGTACGAAGCTGTCGACTGCGCACCCATGTTTTCAATAGCTTAAAAGAGTACATATACAAAACTGAATACCGTAACGTTACAATGAGTAACAAACAGCTTCCAATAAGCCGTAACTGCAGCATTTAATTACGAACTTGGATGAGCTGGTACAACAGATGTTGGAGGAGCGATTGTCAATGTCACTGTTAAGCCAGAATCTTTTATAAGATTGACAATCTCGCTATGCGACAGACTCATAATATCAATACCGTTAACAGCGATCACACGATCACCAACCTGTAATTCCCCAGATCTAGCTGCTGGAGAGCCTTCCAGTATCTCACCTAGATAGTAAATTAATTATCTCGTCGCAAACAATTTGAAGAACAATGAAGAAAACAAGCAAATAAAATGAATCAGCTTCAGATACAGCTATTACCTATAGTGCCGCCATTCTTGCTAGCAGTTGAAATGATAACAAATCCAAATCCATCATTATCACTTCTGTTAAGCACAACATCATAAGTTGAAAGTACAACATTCTGCTGACTGGGTGTTCGGCCTTGTGCCACATCATATGCCGGCGTTATCCCATTGTGTTGGTTTTGCAATGCTGCCGGTTGAATCTCTTCAAAAAAAAAATTTAATAGTTTTATAATAATAACTGTTTTTCAATGTTTCGATATTCCTAAAATAAAAATGTAAAAAAATTTTTATTCATGAAAGGCAATAAATTTAAGCTAGGAAATTTCGGATAAAAACCTTTTTTACGCTGAACGTGTAGCTTAACATAACCGTTCTTGGCTGCTTGTTGCATTAAAGCAACTGCAGCTTCATGGCTTTCACCAACAACATTTCGACCATCGATTCCAACAATTTCATCTCCTTGCCTCAATCTTCCGTCAATTGCAGCAGCTCCGCCGGGAACAATTTGACCAACCGATATGCATGTATTAACCTTCAAAATTTATTCATTCCAGTACTTTCAAAAACACCAATAAATTTGTTTGATTTCAGAAGCTTTTAAAAATGAGCATTATGAACGCCTAAAGATGTACCTCACTACCACCAACCACTCGGAAGCCGAACCCAGTTGGTTTCCGTGTCAGATTTACAGTTAACACTTCAGTATCGTCGTTGTAAAAAGCATTTATTGGTACATAATTCGGTGTAGAAAACCCCAGGCTTGTTGATGATGGACGGATACGGGATAAGTTTTCATAAATTTCCTCATTCGTGTGTCTTTCGTGTTGCTAAACAATAAAAAAAGTAATATTTAGAAGTATCACTTAGATTTTCGAAGAAGCTTGAAACCTTTTAAAAATCGCTAAAAGCGGCTTACAAATCAAAACGACTTAATTAAATCTTACAGGCCCCAAATTCAGGATACTTATAAATATAACTCGTCAAAAATAAAAAATAACAAATCATGTAGTAAAATTTTTTTTGTCTTGAGCAACACAACTAAAACAAAATGCTGAGGTTAAACATTTCCTACACTTGAGTGATTAAGAGCAAAAGCAATGAAAAATAATAATTCATTAAGATTTTTCTTTGAGAGAATTTCAGAAACTGTAATTGGTAAAAAAAGCTAACGCAAAAAATAACTAGAATACCAAAACGTGATTAGACGTCTTATACACTTGCTGAAATCGTTAACAACAAAAGAAGAATGAAACGGTGAGACTCCTCAAAACAATTTTTGAAAGCAACATCCCAAATAAATAAAACTAATTATAACGTTTTCAAAATGCACAACAGAGACCTGATTGAAGTCCAGAATGTGGACTAAACTGATTTAAGAAAAAAACCTCCAAGGCTTAAAAAAAGCAGAAAAAAGCAACTGAGGAATGATTAAGTGACTGACAGTTCTTATACGAATATTGTCAAAAATTTTTATGCTGCAGACATTATTTATGGTTCTAAATAAGTTAACAGCATTATAAGAGACTATGACAAATTAGCCATACAAGTGAATAAAGGAAAGATCACCAAAACAAAATTCTTATAAACAGAAGTCCACAATTTATATCTGTAAAAAAATATTCTATTAGTTTCCTACAGAATAAAGTAGAAAAAGTTAAAAGATGTTTCTCAAATCATAACTGAACCAGAACTAAATTAGTGAAAAGTCAGAACATCAATTAACTGTCTAAATAGTAACCAGTCAAAAATATCTACCAATTTTTGATGCTAGAACATAACAAAGTTACAAAAGAAAATGAAGACTAACTCGCGGTATCGTATTTCTGGCGCCATACTGCGATGACGGTTGCATACCGTTTTCCATCATATGAGAAGTGGACGATGCTGGAACTGATGGTGTACTAACGTAGTGTTTTGCAGGCCTCGGAGGTTGGGCAAGTGGAGTTTTGGAACGTGGGACAATAGTTGGAAGAGGTGTTGCACGTTGTTCGCCGTAACGAAATCCAGCTGTTGGCGTTTTCGATCTAAATCTGATAAAAAAAAATAACTTCCTGTAGTCTCAGGTTTATAACAATGCCATAAATGTCTCTCAGACTCAAACTGAAGAATAAAATGTTAAAAGTACCGATGACGAGGCGAGTTTCGTCGCACAAGAAGCTTTGCCCAGAAACCTACTGGGCAATCCCTGAGTACAGAAACAAGTTCGTGATGAGCCATGCCACGGAAGTTTGTAACATGGTATGGCTCTATCGGATTTGTTGCAGTGCCACGTGGGTATGTTGTCCGCATTTCCAGCAAAGTATCCCCCTCCAGCAGATTTTCGCATCTTTCAGGATGTAAAATCTTTTTAACTCGCTGACCATGCAAACTTTCAAAGATTGTAAAACCAAATCCATCTTCAGCCTAAAAACACGGTTGAAAAACCACTTATTGATTGGAAGTCAAACTCGTGACCGCTGATATTTGAAAGTATTTCCTTCTGTCTCAAAAAGGCGTCTGACTGATAAGGCAAAATTGCTGAACTAAAGTGGAATAAGGAGGACAATCGATTACTTTAACAATGGTGATTTCCTTTTCGTCATATACACGAGAACTGTACGCGTTTTCAGTCACTATCTGAAAAAGCAGAAGAAAGAATGAAGACACACAATCACTGCCAAGAGCTAATACTTAAAAATTAGCACTGCAAAAAATTTCAAGAAAAGTAAAGAAATGCTAAAAATCATTTTAATCTTTACCCTATTTGTTGGATCCAAAATAAGCGGATAGCCTCTGCAAACTTGCAAAGTTACCATTTCCCCGACAGCTATTGACTGAAATATTCGACATGCCTGAGACTGTGTGGCACCAAGAACGCACTGGTTGTTAACATACACTAGAACATCGCCCATGTGTAATATACCATCCCGATGTGCAGGACCTCCCGGTATGACACTCTTAATCTAAAAGATATCCACTCTTTATTACAACAATGCTTTTTAATAGCAGCTATACAATAATTTCACATATTTTGCATTACAGCTTAAAAAACTACTTAGCTGAATCGGGATTGGTGAATAACTTGCCTGTAAAAACTCCTCATTTAACGAACTTCCATCGTTACCTATTAAAGTAAAGCCCAAACCTTTTGAACCCTTCGGTATCCTAGTAGTGATCAACTGACCCGTAAGTTGCGATGGGTCTCTAAAATTTTTAAAAGAGATGAATAACCTTCAAAAAAATGACATTAAACACGAAGTACACTGCAGTGGTTAGAAACAGAGAAGTGTTATTTTTAGATTAAGTCCAATTAAGTATAAACCCAGAGAGAATACGATACTCAAGTAGGTACGTGTATAGAACACTTCGGAAAGTAAAATAATATTTAATAACTGATAAAGCTGACATTAAAGGAAGCTACTAAAAGACTAAAAAGCGCACAGCATAAAGGGCCAAGATTTTAGGAAAATCCTTGCTATTATCATAACTAATGATCAATTTATCCCAAATCGTACCGAGTGAACATGGATGGTGAGAAGTGATTCGATAAAGGATGTTGTTGAATCAACGCTGACGAGTTGTTGTTAGCATAAAAAGCTGAATGCCGTCGATTATGCGCGACCATAGCGTTGTTTGACGGCGGCATGAAGTGCGGAGTACTAGTACTGATAACTGATGTACTGCCTCCGATGCCACTACCAATGCCGATGCCGTTTTCGGCCACAGGTATACTATTGCTTTGCCCACTACCATTAATCAGTAATGCGCTCGATGTGCTTGCCAGCGGGTTAACCGACGATGACGAATTGAAGGCGCTGACGGACGTCGGTGCATATTGCGGACGCTCATATTGAGTACGCTTATTTATGTGACTAAAAACTTTATAATGATTACAAACAGCAGAGAAAAGGTTCAAAGTATTAATGGAATGAAAAAAATTCGCAAAAAAACTTTTTAGATAACCACTTGCCAATTTCGTTAGTAAATAAGCATTAATAAGTTTCTTATTGCCCTTCTAAAAAAACAAGAACATTACTTCTCCCTACATTCCTATAAGATCATTTTTATTGCAGCTCAGGCAAAAGTCTAATCTGTTATCAGTCCGAGGCAAACAAATCGGTTTCCTCTAACTTATTTCAACAATTCGTCATGTTGGCTAAAATTTAAAAAGATATTCTTTCGTCTAAGAAGAGTTCATGCTCAGAAATTTTTTTAACATGGTCAAGCAAAATTAAAATGTGGAAATGAGAGAAAAGAAAACAATAACAGCATATGGAGAAAGTCTTTAAAAATGTTAAACAGCAAAGCCAAAAATTTGGTTTGAAAAGAATGATAAATCGATCTTTCCTTCCACCTCCTTTTCTCAGTCTAATCCTTGTGACAGCAATAAAGAAAGAAAAAGATGAAAGATTCTGAGCATAACTAAGATGGTCATTTAAGATCTGAACAAATCTAATAAGATCCAAAATTAGAAAGCTATTCATCATTTACCTGTAATAAACAATTTCGTTTAACAGATCGCACATTAGGCGTATCCGAAAATGACACACCGATACTGTCAGAAAGTGAGAAATGACAATTTTTGCTTCCGTTAATGTTAATAGTCAGCGCATCTGTACCAACAAATCGTATCAACAAATTAGGATCTGCTAGTTTAAGTTGGCCAAAAAACTGTCTATTTATTTGGTTGTCATCCACAAACATTACAGAAAGAAAAAGAAGAAAAAAAAAACGAAAATAAAAAGACAAATACCCAAACAAAATCAACTTCCTGCAAAATAATTTTTACTGAAAATTTTCTAAAGCTCAATCCCCCTGATTAGTGTTCCGTATTCTATTTCATTTGGCATAAAAATATGTTATAAATACTTTATATATATAC